CTAGGAAAAAAGTTTGAGCCAGGAGGTCAGCCTGCATGTTTCAGTGTCTATCAGACACCTTCCTCAGACTCAGACCTTCTGACTGGAGTTCTGCTTCTCGCTACAAAAGCGCCATTAAAATTGCATTCTGTAGCGGCCTTCCTAGCGATAAAAATGTAGCAAAGGCTCTTCTGAAGATAACGCACCCATCCCAGTGGCACAATGGTAATTGTTTTCTTGACTGTGTAAAATTGCACACGCGTCAGTAAAGATCCCAGCCCGCAGCCCACTCGAACTTTGTTAATGATTTTAATAGTTGATTGGACATTTTTTTTGTCCTTAAAGACTTAGTGAAAAAGTCATTCAGTCATGCACTCCTATAATCTTCCCTCCTACATGTCTGTCATGAGTAATAAGCAAGGAGATTTCTTACAGCAACATATCCCATTTCTCCTATGGCTGAACAATTTTGCTTAATGGAAGACTGATAGTTTCCAGTATAGCTGACATTTGTTCCTATTTTTGTAACAAAATTGGAGATGGATTTGAGGAACCCAAATCAATTTCGGAGTGCAAATTGCCATAGTTGAATCCCAGGCCATTATTTTTCACTTACTGGCAGAACTGAAGTGCAAAAGAATGATTGTGATTATTTCTTAGCTTTACTGGGAGTCATTATCAGAGTTGGAAATCCCATGACATATACAATGTATATATAGTATAATAGGTTAGTGCAGGAGATATTGGAGCTGTGCAGGTATTTTTCGGGCATTACCAGACCTGCTGTGGTCTGGTAACATGCTGGGGTCATGTTTTTAAGACTCAATGCACAGCTTGTGCCACAGAACAGAAAGTTGTCCTTCTGTACCTGACCCCTACATTGTGAAAAATTTCTGGTCAGAAACTTGATAATATTTAGGTGAATGTGGATTTTTATTTTCTGCATTAACTGTTGCCACCAAAGTAACAGAATACAGCACCAGAAATAATGGCAATGGTTTCTGTATAGTATTTAGTATGAACTATGATTCATACTTGATAAATTCTGCGTGGTGCAGGTAAAATTTGTCTGGTGCAGGTAATTTTCATTGTTACCTCAGGGCTCCTGACTAACTTTTTGACTTAGGCGTGGGTCTTGACAGTAATAAGCAGTAACTGTTATGAATTTCAAACTACATGTGATATAAAAGGTAGGTATTAAAGCAGTTGATTGCTGTTATGTTCACAAACTTTTGTCTAACATAATAGTTATTTGTACGTCACTGGAAGCAAAAATACACGTAGATTAAATTAGAGACTTCAGACAAGAATTAGGCCTAGTGTCTCTGGTTTCCCGACCAACTTAAGCAAATTAAAAGGGTGGTCTGACAGTATCTGAAAATGCATAGAGAGGTAGGTAGAGATACTCACAATAAGGCCATACCAAGTAATTTTTATGGAGTTGTGATATCATGTTTTGTCACTTCAATTCTTGGTTTATGATCTCAAAATTTGAAAAAGAAGGAATCTTGTTTTTTTTGGCATGACTTGTTTTTTCCATCCTATCGCATTAGGTATGAAAATTGGAGTCTGAGGAGGATGTCACCCATAAAATTTTCTTGCTGTGCACTAATGAATAAAGCAAGAAATTCACCAGAAATGTTGATGAATGTGTTTTTTGTTCCAGGCGACAAGTTTGGGAACCTGTCGATGGTGAGGCTCCCAGCAGGGGTCACAGACGAGGTGGACGAAGATCCCACCGGCAACAAGGCACTCTGGGATAGGGGACTTCTCAACGGGGCGTCACAAAAGGTCTGTGGTTAAGTACTCCAGACAGAATTCTATGTTGTGTTTACTTAGTGAGTAATATAGCTTCTCAGTTACAATATTTGGTACGAACTTTGAAAAGAAATTGTTACTCAAGTAATGAGATAGATTTTGAAACTCGATACATGCACGTTTAGCCTCCCTTTCTAGAGGAATCAAAATGAATTTGAGTTAAATTTCAGTCAAATTTAACCCCTGAACACGCCCTGAAAACTGCCAACTTACGCCCAAATGGCTAGCTTAGTCGACCCAAATTTTTTAGGACTGAAACAGGAAACACAGCATTTTTTTCCTAGGCCTAAGCAATCTTGCATGTGAAAATCTTGCATGTGAGAATCTTGCATGTGAAAATCTTACATGTGTAAATCTTGCATGTGAAAATCTTGCATGTGAAAATCTTGCGTGTGAAAATCTTGCGTGTGAAAATCTTGCGTGTGAAAATCTTGCATGTGAAAATTTTGCATGTGAAATACAGCATGCACCACACACTTCCTGTGTTCACCCTGGCAGGAGTGTTGTGTATAACCTGTCAGGTCTTTAACAGGAAGACAGGATACTGCAGAACATGACTACCTGCCACACAGTGGTGTGTGGACTAGGGACTAACACGTTCTGCTACAAAATACTGGCAATTTTTTACCATCGTTTACAAACAAAAATCAGCTTGTAGTCAAAAAGAAAGTACAGCATGTCATTAAAGTAAGCTTAAGGTCTGCCTGCAAAATTTGCCCTTCAAAATGCAAGAAATAGCATTTTAGAGGGTCATGATTCAACATTATCGGCGCATGACGTGATGTTACATCAAACAAGGTTAAGGTGGCAGAAAAACTTAAGGCTGGCTAGAAAGGACGCTGCGGGAAGCATAACACTGACTTTTCTAGGCCTTTATAGTAATAAGTGTTCACAGCATGTACTGAAGGATTGGTCCTGAGGGAGTCTGTGATTTGATGACATGCCATCAAGATGTCCGTTTCTGCCGATAAGTGCTGTTAGAGTCGTGATAAGGTGATGGCAACAGCAGCACACACAGGACGACTAATGGTTTGAAAGCAAAGCTCACGAATGTCAGAGCCAACAAGACAATCACAAAACTTTTCTAATGGACTGGGTTAAAAGATGTGTACTTAAAGGAGCACTGGAGTCGTGAGGAGAGTGTTATTTTCCAATCAAGAATGATGTTATGAAGTGAAAAATGCTTTTAACTGTACATGTATGTATGTCAAAAGATAAGTACCCACTAGTTGCATGCGAAAAAAAATTAGTTACTCTTGCAAACTCCCAAATACCCTCCAAACAATCCTAGAATTTATGTACCTACATGGCTGAATACAAAGTGCCTGACAATTTGCTGGAAGAATCTGCTCTTTAATATCTTTTCACCAAATGACCTGTTACACCCAATCTTTTGCACATCTAACTGCAGGAGTTGTTTCAAGCTTTCTAGTGATGATGCCCCAACTGTGCATGGTGGCAACGAGTTCCACTCTACAATACATGTACATTGTAGTTCCTGGAAAATACATATTTAAAGTTTTTGAACACCTCTTGACTTACTTGACTTAAGTCGGGTGCCACTCTTCCTCTGCCACCCGAACCACAATGGCTGCCCAGTAGTCTCTGTCCTCCATCACCTTCCCCATGTCTTCGGCCCGAAGGCCAACGTCCCTTCTCAGCACATCTGGGTAGGTGAGGGGTGGTCTTCCCGGCCTCCTTCCCCCGTGTCCTGGGGACCACAGGACAAGGTTCGAGGCTATCTCCCTGCAGTTCCTTAGTGTGTGGCCAGCAAACCGCAGTCGCCTAGCTCGTATTTTTGTCGACAGTTTTGGGAGACCAGCATAGAGCTCTTTGTTTGTCAGATGTTGTTCCCAGTGTACATTATGGACACGCCTCAGCATCCTTGTGTAGCAGCCATCCAGTTGCTTTTCCAGTTTGGGAGTCACAGTCCACGCTTCACAGCCGTACAGGAGTACCGACTCCGCCGTTGAGAGGAAGAGGCGTGTCTTGAGCTTGCTTGACAGGTCTGACTTCCAGATCTTGTCCATCTTGTTGCAGGCTCTCCACGCCGCTGCCTTGCGGGAGTTGATGTCCTTGGCAGTGCTTTCCATGTGGGACCCAAGATACTTGAAGTCCTCCACTTTCTCAAGAGTGGATCCATCTGTGGTCTTCAAACAAACCGGTGACTGCTGGTTGTAGGCCATGAACTTGGTTTTCCCCGCGTTCATCTGTAGGCCAACCCTTGCAACTGAGGTCTCCACGTTCCGGAGTAGCTGTTGGGCTTGGTGGACTTCTTCCGAAAGGAGGGCGATGTCGTCCGCAAAGTCTAGGTCAGTCACAACCTTTGGCCCAATCCTCCTACTCCTCCTCTTCACCAGTTGGAAGCCCAGCTCCTCTTCTCTCCCTTCTATGGCCACCCTGAGTGCGTAGTCCAGCACTAGCACAAACAGGTACGGTGCCAGGGTGTCTCCCTGCAGGACTCCAGCTTGAATCTCAAAAGGCCTGGTGTCCCCGTCTGGAGTTACCACTTTTGCCATTGTGCCCTCATAGAGACTGCCGATGGCGTGGACGATCTGCTCTGGGTTGCCGTAGGCGTTCAAGATCCTCAACATCTTGCCCCTGTGGATGGTATCGAACGCCTTTTTGAAATCTATGAAGGTGATTATGGCAGGTAGGTTGTGACTCTTTATGCCCTCAATCAGTCTTCGTAGTGCAAGAACATGACCAACTGTCGACCTTCCTTCCCTGAACCCGTTTTGGTTACATCTCAGAAGACCGTCCACTGCTGGTCTTATTCGGTTGAGCAGCATCTTGTTGAAGATCTTGGCCACCAGTGAGCTCAGGCTGATGCCCCTGTAGTTACTCCCAAGTCTAAGGTCTCCAGATTTGGGTATTGGGACGATGTTTAGCAGGGACCACTGATCTGGTTTTTCTCCTCTGGTCAATACTCTGTTACAGAAATCCAGGATGATTCTGTCCAACCCTCCGCATCTCTTCAGAACTTCTGGGGGTATTCCATCCTCTCCAGAAGCCTTTCCTTCAACCAGAGATTTCTTAGCCTTCTCGTATTCCCCCTGCTCGAACGGACCAACTTTGATGTCGAGCTCCTCGAACACAGTAGGGATTTCCTCATCCTCGTCCGTGATGTTAGGGGGACTTCCAAGAAGAGTTTTGAAGTGGTTGTACCAGTTCTCAATCCTTTCCTCCTGTGTATTTCCTTCTAGTTGACCCTTCCTAGTTGCCTTTCTGTCGGTGATATCATTAATCAATTTCCAGCTCTGTCCATGTTTGCAGTTCAGATGAGCTTTCTCCACCTCTCTGATCTTGTTGCTAAGATCTTCTTCCTCCACTGTAATGTAGGCTTCTTTTAGCTTCTTCTTGGTCTGTCTGTACTCTTGTCTGTTTGCTTCGGATGTGTTCTCTTTGTACCTCCCATACACTTCATTCAGCTCGTGTCTGACCTTTGCCACCCTGGGGTCTTCTGAGTGTCTTGCCCTCCTTCCCCTCTTTCTGAGTGGGACCACTTTTCTCTGCTGCCTCCTCGGTAGCTTTGATGAACCTCTCGTACCTTTCCGTAGCAGATTCCTCGAGATCCTTCAATGGTTGAAACCTATTGTGCACCTCGATCGTGTAACTGCTCCTGTAGGTCACTCCTGGTCTTGAACAAGTTCCAATCGTACGGCCTTTTCCTTGGCTCTGCTTTCTTCTTCCTCAGGCTCAGTCTCACCCTGGCAGAGACAATTCTATGGTCTGAGCCGACACTTGCAAAAGAACTGTATGCCTCCACATTCAGCATGCTGTTACGCCATTTCCTACGTATAAGCACGTAGTCTAACTGGTACTTCATGCCTCCTGGGCTGATGAAGGTCCAAAGCTTTCCTGCCTTCTTACAAAAGTCGGTGCTAGAGACGACTAGGTCCTTCTCATTAGCCAGATCCAACAACAGTCTCCCGTTTCTATTGGTTTCCTTATGGAATGTGAACTTGGCATCTTGGTCACCTATTCTTGCATTGAAGTCCCCTATTACCAGTAATAGGTTGTGGGCTGGAATGGCTTCAATGGCTCTTGCCAGGTCCTCATAGTGAGCCTTCACTGTATCCTCATCTGCAGTGTTGGTTGGGCAGTAAGTGACAATGATACTTGCTACTGGGTTCCCCTGGAAGCTTGCTGTTAGTATCCGCTCTGTGTTTTTTGTAACCTTGGCCAGTGAGCTGCTTGCTGTTGAGCCGAGCATAATCCCTACCCCTCCTACAGCTGCTCCAGCCTGGTTCCTGGTTGCAGATGTAGTTATGAGCTGTTGACCGTTGATGACCTCGTGCTTTACTTCTTCCTCGTGTACTATACGGTGCTCCTGGATTCCCAGAACGTCAATTTCATACAAGCTAAGGTTGGTTGCCAACTCCTCTCTGCATCTTGCTTCCTTTAATGTTCTAACATTGAGCGTTGATATTGTAGTAGTTCTCCTGCAGTTGACAAGACTTCTCCCAATACAGGTACCTCCATCGGGCTTGTTCCTTCCTTGTGGGTTTGGGGACAAGTCGTCATGGAAACCCTTTGGGTCTCGGCCTGTGGTGGGATCTCTGTTAGGGACTTTAACCCTAGTGTTGTTTCTATTCGCCATCATGGTTTTTCTATTGCTTATAATAACTGCGGGCGCCACTCCTGCAGTATGGTTTGTCATGTGAGTTTTCCTTCTCGTAGTCCTCTGGCCGTTGTAGGGTGGTCAGCAAGCTGTCATCCTACCTCCGCCCTTTGCCTTAGTCATCCCTGTCTTCGACCAGAGATGGTAAGTTGCCCAGGTCTGAGGACTCCCTGCTTTTTGATCACTGGCCGCTGCTGTGACATTCGACAGGCGCCCTCTTGCCGGTTACCAGAGTTGTACTCCTTTGCGCCAGAGGTAGTGATCGTCCTCTACTATTTAACCCATAGCTGGGACGAGCGATGGTGGGTGGCAGAGCGTGTCCACACATTGGTGGGTCATGCCTACCGCACCTCTGGGGCCGCTCGTTGCTCCGAGATCCCCTACATAGTTAGCCTTGGGTAGTGAGTCCCAAGTTACCAGGTTGGCCACGTGGAGGCCATGTAGGAGTCTTGAGTAAGTAGGTGTCCTGGCTGGTGTGGGGAGGCTGATGCAGGAACTGCCAGTGGTGGTGGCAGAGTGGATGTGGCAGAGTTGGTTTACGCTGGAAACAGCCAACTACAATTGAACACCTCAATCCTTGGTTAATACCAGTAACTGGTATTAGATACTACCAGTTTATTAATCTTTGGGTGATCTCTAAAATGGTGTTCCTTGTTCCTGGTCAGGCTGACGTGATCTGTAACTACCATGTGGGAGAGGTGGTGACGTCAGTACAGAAGGCTACCCTGATCCCTGGTGGCTCCGAGTCCCTGGTGTACACCACAATCTCAGGTGGGGTGGGCATCCTGGTCCCCTTCACCAGTCACGAGGTTAGTCTTGATTTCCGTAAATAATTTCATCAGGTTGGAAGATACTTAGGGTATAGAATTTTCTTCTTACACAACCATAGAGTTTCTCACCTGCTTACGTTTCGATGTCTATCAGACACCTTCCTCAGAGCTTCTGACTGGAGTTCTCGCCCCTATATAACGGCAATTTAGGTGGCCAAGTTTGGGATTGCATTCTCGCCGCAAAAGCGCCACATACATTGGCGTTATATAGCGGCGAGTTGCAGAACTCCAGTCAGAAGCTCTGAGGAAGGTGTCTGATAGACATCGAAACGTAAGCAGGTGAAAAACTCTATGGTTGTGTAAGAAGAAAATTCTATACCCTAGGTAAGTCTTGAGTTTACAACAACCAGGATGAAACCCCCGAAAATTGTTTCATCAGGTTGGTAAAGTATAGGATACGGGAGTTAAATTCTTTTAGTTTTACACCACCAAGATTTCTTACTGAAGTGCTGACATTTCGGTGTCTATCAGACACCTTCCTCAGAGCTTCTGACTGAGTTCTGCTTCTCACCGCTATATGTAGCCGATGTAGGTGGTGCTTTTGCAGTGAGAAGCAGAACTCCAGTCAGAAGCTCTGAGGAAGATGTCTGATAGGCACCGAAATGTTAGCTGTTAGGTGAGAAATTTGGTTGAATGTGTAAAACTCCTGTATCCAGGATGAAACCTCAGGTACTGTAAATCATTTTATGTTTGCGGTAGCAAAGTACGTGATCTGAGAAAAATGTGCGTTTACGGAACTATTATGTTTATGGTGGTGGCAAGTGCAGCAAAAAGAAAGTCTGGGAATTATTTGTTCACAATAACGATAAGTTCGTTGTACAGAAGTGGCTGTAAAAACCGTGAATAAAAAGTACCTGAAAAGTGGTAAGCCCAAATAAAATAGAACATCAGATTCTCTTGCTTTTACAAATGTGTAAACCACCTGTCAAACACTTTAAATCACTTGAAGATTTTGTTCTTATCAACGAATGACAGGCAGGCTTAGTTTTGTTTTGTTTTGCTTGACGTTGCCTGGTGATGCCAAACTCTGCTGGAAATGCAGGCACAAATTAAATCTGAATTGGTAGAAAATCCTGCCATCTGGAGAGTATTCCCTGGTGACAATATTGCCAATCTTCCTAGAAGGCAATTTACATTTGATGCAGTACAATGTCATGTTCACTTGGTAATACAGTACACATTTAGTCACAGTGACCATGCATAGCATTCTGATTGCATCCAAGGCCACTGTCCCTTTTGTACCGTGAACTTAATAATATTATCATTATTATTACCATCTGTCTTTCTTCCCTTGCCATCTCCTGCCACCGTAAAGATATAGTTCCGTAAACATGTCTTTTTTCCTTAGACTGTGAAAATTTGCTACCGTGAAGATTTAAAGTGAATTACAGAATTTGTGTCCTGGGCCATATTTCTGTATCTGTACAGCCAGTATGACCGCCTTTCGGCGTAACACACCAGCTAACACACACATATTGTTGACCTAATTGTTTTTGACAGTCCTTTAAGTTTACGACTTTGATTTATGGACATGCTTTTGCTTTTGACGCATCAGAATTTTATTTGACTGCTGTCCACCTTTTGTTGCTGACTAAATGTAATCATGTCCTGTGTATATGTACAAATGTACATGTATGCTGGGCCCTAGTGCTGCATACCGGTTCACTGGACTTGGATCTGGACTTGTTAGAATTTTTAGGTTCAAGTCCAAAAAAGCCTAAAAGTCAAGAACCGAGTCCGGACTTACATTGTATTACCATAAAAGACCATTTCACATACCCCTTTTCTTTCCAAACCACCTAAAACCTTCCGTACATTGCAAAATCTTTGCTGCAAAATGAAGAAAACATTGCCATCGGGCATCATCAAGTACCGGCCTCCATGTTATGTGGCCAAAGTTTCACCCAGACAACATTGCAGGGTTGTCAACATGCATTATTGTATATGCCATGGGTTTAGTTCCGGACTTACAAGTCCAGAACTGAACCTAAACCTCTGGACTTGAATCCGGACCTGAACCTAAAATTGGGTTTAGGTACAAATGTATGCAGCACTACTAGGCCCCATTGGAAATCAGCTCCTACAAGCTGCATAGGCTCCCAAGCCACTTTATTATCTTTTATGTTGAAATGAATGAATAAAATAAACTAACATTTCCTAACCCTTCAGAGCACTCACAGGTTGGTGTGACTACAGTAAAGCTTGGACATGATGCCTGATGATCCGTGTTTCACCTGATCTGCATGATTACAGCAGCAGTAATGCCTGATCCAAGCATGATTCACTAATCTCTTAATCCTTGTAGGGCTGTTCCAAACATTGGAAACAAAGGTTTCAAAAAAAAAAAAAATTAAGTAAACGTAGTTCCGTAGCTGTTTTTGAAGCTGTAGAGGCAGTGGGTTGTTAATCCACTGTGTCAAGGGCACGGTATTGGAAAGTGGAGCCCATCCCTCTCCTTCCACTGCCTTTTACCTCCACAACCATTTTACAGCTGGGTGGAGTGAGGAAGGAATGAAACCCTTGGCCTCTGGATCTCTTGGCAAGGAAACAAAATGACAGGACTAGAAAGAAATCATAGCGCATTATTAGACTAATAGTAACTATATACAATGTAGAGATAGATTCCATGGTTGGAACAGCCCTCTACCAATGAATGTAATGCTAAAACACTAAAAAAGACTCCTTACCTGAATGCTTGCATGTTGAATTGCTTTGTCTGAAAGGTTTAACTCACAGTAGATGTAGAACCAATATAACTTCTAACCCTGTAACTACATAGTATTACATGACATTGTACATCAATATGTACATCCATTATCTAACTATCATTGTTAGGCCACACGAATTTAATCAATCAGTTCTCAGATTTGACTCTTTGTGTTTTTTGAACTTGCAAAAGCAAAAATAAAGATTTTAGGTTCTGAATCAACTCCAATATGCACATATTTTGTCCCAACAGTAAGTGTTGAAGAAATTCCTTATCTTTATAGTTTTTTCCATCTATCAATCAATGCAATGGTTTCATAAAAGTTCAAAATTCATAGTATAAATTCTACCCAGGCTAAATACGTTGAATTTATGGCTCCTCTCATAACATTTGGGGCTATCGTGGGGTGCCTTGGCTTTTTTTTCACCTTGTCGCTACATATTTTCGCTGAAAAAAATTGAGAACCAACAAATCAAATTGGTGTGGCCTTATCATTACCTTCGCCAAGAAGGTTATGTTTTCAGGGGCGTTCGTGTATGTGTGTGTGTGTGTGTGTGTGTGTCTGTCTGTAAACACGATAACTTGAGAAGGCCTTGATGGATTGTCTTGATACTTGGTAGATGGGTAGGTCTTGATGAGACCTCAAAATGATTAGATTTTGGACCCCCTAGCGGCTTGTTATGGTACTGCAGCTGAACTTCCGGTTTTGATATCTCAAGATCCAGACATGCTATGGTGATGAAATTTGGATGGTAGGTAGCTCTTGTGCTGGGAAAGAAGTGACGTGAGTTTAGGCCCCCTTAGCGGCTTGCTCTAGAACTGCAGGGGGGTTTAAAGGACAAATGTTTAAAAGAGGATAACTCAAGAACCGATTGATGGATCATCGTGATTTTTGGTATGTAGGTAGCTGAAGTGATGCTTGACATAATGATATTACAATTATGCGAATATTGATGTAATTTGCATAATTAATGAGGAAATTCTATAAATCAGCTGCATTCCATGATAGGAAGTTCAAGCTTGTAACATATGTTATTAAGAACGAGAGAAACACAGGCAAATATTGATTATGCAAATGAAGACTTAATTTGCATAATTAATGAGAAAATGTTATAATTGCGTAGTGGTAACTGCCTGGAATTTCATACTTGGGGTGTTTGAGAATTAAGTAAAGGTGAACATATATAAACATAACTTATTCAAATAAGGACCACATTTGCATAATTTATGAGAAAATGGCATTCTTTAAGATTAGACTGTCTTTTGATGGAGAATATGATCAACAGACTGATATAATTCATGCAATTGAGGATCCTATTTGCATAATCAGGGTGATTAGTATATTTCTTATTCATAAAGGCTAACATCATTTGGCGAAGGTATGAGATCGTGGAACTCTAGTTTGAGGTATCCAAATATTTTACTCAGGTAATGTAAATGCTAAAGTCTTGTTTGGATGTAATAATGACTGCTTCGATGTTGTGGAGTTTCTGTGGTACGAGTTGCTTGTTTGTCTGTGTCTCACCTCAGGACCACGACTTCTTCCAACATCTGGAGATGCACATCCGCTCAGAACACCCTCCCCTGTGTGGGAGGGACCACCTGTCCTTCAGGTCATACTACTATCCTGTCAAGGTAAGGAAAATCATAAAATTGAAAAAATTCATAAAATTGATTGTGAAGTTGGCTGTGCGGTCAAATATTTTGTTGCTCATCGGTTGCAGCCTTATACAGCCTTAAGAGTTCCCTTGCAGGAGACTCAAATTGCTTCTGGCAAAATATATACATGAAGACTATTGATTTGAATGCTTCTTGGATTGCTTCTAACCTTTCACACACTGTTTCCTCTAGACGGATCAAAATTGGATTTCTTTGACCCTTAATTTTATAATTGGAATATGATACAAATGTAGGACAACAAGGCACATAAAACATCAGGAAATTTCCTGGTTGTGGAATTGGTTGAGCGGCCTGCTTTGCCACAGCCTTAAGAGAGTTCTCTTACCGAGAGACTCAAATTGCTTCTGGCAGAATATGAAAGACTTTGAGATAGTCTGGAGACAGGTAATACGTCAGCGTGTGTATCAGATGCAGGCATGGGGCTGCCCTCTTCATTCTCCCTGCCGGTTAGTCTCCGGTCTCCTGCAGTCTTCCCCATTTATCATCCCCCTCTCATCCATCTCACCGGACATGGGCTCTAATTGATTCATAATCCACCATCTGTCATACAATAGGCCGGAAATCACTGCATCCACCATATAAGTTATAACAAGAAATGGCAGCTCACAACAGCAATGTTTACGTACATGTATAACCAAGGCAGGGCTTGAAATTAAAGGTGGTCCAGTGGCCACTGACCACTAAAATTTAGGCTGGGACAACTAAAAAGACACTTTGGGACATTCTTGGGACAATAGACAAATCAACATCAGAATTCCAGCACACGTCCCTGCTTTTGGATAGGGAAAAATCCCCCTGAATTTCGATGTATTGTGCTGCCATATTGTTTTAACTGTTGCCCACGCCCACCACTGATCAAGTCCCGGGGACTTGATTAGTTGAGCAAAACTAAAATATTAGATTTTACCTGTCAGCACATATTTTGTAAATCAAAAATTCATTGCATATGACAAAAGAGAGTAAGGGACAGCACGGTTATATACTGCACTGATTTCACATTGGAATTCCACGGCACAGTGTTTTATACTGGCTGTGTGCCAAACTGAGAATGTCATCTGAGGGCATGCAAAATCCAGCCTCCAGGCAAATCACAGAACTGACTTTGTTTTAGTTCCAAACCTCCAAATGTCAGAAGATTATATGCATGGGCATGTCACAAGACATGAGTGGAATATGTTTAGAAGCTTCGAAGAGGAGGGTGTCCTTAGGCTATTACGAATGATACAGAGTCTCTCAACAGTGAAATTTTGTCACATGCAGTAAGTTAGTTGTTAGAATTTTATTTTAACATATTAATATAATGATAATTGTGAGGGACCAAAGCAACCTATCGGGATAGAACAGAAGAAGGGTCTTGACCCATATAAGATGCAGGGATTTGAAAATGTAAGGAAGAGACCACATACAATTTTTTTCTACACTAAATGTTTTAATTTATTACCAAGACCAAATTTTTTCTAGGCTACATGTACACGTTTTTGTCACTTTGGAGGGTCATACCAACATTTTTGGCCTGACCTCATTACACAAGTAAATACTATCAAAGTACCATTTCACTAGTTGCAAATAGCCATAATGCTCCCCAATTTGGCATGGCGGTCACAAATAATAGGGTGATGGCTCGATGTGCTAAACCTAAAGTGCATTAGATACATGACTTTGTGGAACCCTGCTTCTGGAAAAGTAAGAGGTGCACTGGAGTTCTTTTCAGTACGAGATGAATTCAGACTTCAGAGTAGAGAACATATTCCTAGTACCAGGCCTATGATCTAGAGCTTCTATAGGTACATGTAGATATGGCTGTGTTATACAGGTTTGCAGAGACGTTATCAAGTACTAAGTGCTGATAACGCAAGCATCACACACTGCAATCCATCCTACTTTATTACTACCAATCACAACATTTACCACGGGACCTGTGCACAAAACGGCGATAAAGACGTCAAACGGCCAGCTCCGAGGGCTGTGATTGGCCCAGGAGAACCGTATAAGGCAGCGCTGTACGTCAGGTTACCTATAAAACTGCGGCCAGGATTTCTGAGAACAGCTCGGACCCATTCATGTTGTTACAGGCACGAGAGGCAGGGAGAAGATTGAAATGATGTCAAATGTTTGACCCTGACGGTCAGATGGTTTGACATTGCTGTGTATAATCTCCAAGCAGATGTTGGAGTGTTTAAAGTTTTAAATTGAAACATGTAACTACCAAGTTACAGAATGATGAACTTTCATGATAGATGTTGGGTGGAGGATCTTAGCATTTTCTGACTTGCTGTTCTTCTCTACTCTAGTACAAGAAGTTTTCTGTCAGTGGCATTACATTTTTGCCTCACAGATATCAGTATGCTATGGGATTATAAGAGTTGATTCAACTTACATGTACTACTGCAACATTAAAAATTGGCCTGAAAACTGAGTTTGAAAATCCAGCTTTGAGTTTACTGCCCTGAAAGCTTTGGGTGTCTTTAAAATATCCTGGAAAATATGATACGGTCATAAATTTACCTGTAAGTAACGAGAACCTGTGTCTACGCAGTCTGGGAGTAGGAACACCAACTGGTATTTTATCACCCTACATGGAACAATGCACACTTCCCATATTGGCTTCTAGCAGGAGTGTAATATGGCTGAAGATAAATGGCCATGTTTATCTGATAGTGCTGGCAGCTGGGTGGAAGGCAGCAGGAGTTGTTTGGAAGCTTAGTGAGGAAACATCTCACAGCTGTACTCATTCTGAACCCATTATTGTGTTAACCTTCGCAGAAGGAAAACATATTGTTTTTGCTCAGTTTCTTCCTTCTCTTCTTCTTCTCCTGAAACACAAAAGGTCAACGACCTAGATCAAACGGCTGTCACCATGGTAACTGGTGCTGTAGCAGACAGCTTGTATGTGTTGGATTACATTTTGTAGCAGGACAGAAAAAATGGTGCCTTAGTTATGATCTAAGTGGTTGGGAAGGTTGAACAGATGACTTAACATACAGCATGTGATATGGCATTCAACAATACATTCTTTATTTTCGTTCTGTCACAACATCTTTGACTTTGGAAGACTCAGTGTTGCAAGTCAGTAATAACTACTGTAGCCCTCAGCAGCTTCCCTTATTCTGGCATCTTCTATTTCCCTTCGACCTCTGTCATCCTTCAAGTACCAAAAGAAACAGTCTGATCGCAAACTTTGCTTTCAGAAACGGAGGAAAATTGATGCATGCATAGATGTCATCTGTATAATCAAGTCTGTGGCCTCACTTGAAACAAAATGCTGGCATACTCAGCTGAGTGCATGCATGTATAATCACAGGTATTATCACAACCAGAGTGCCTACAAGTGGTACATATAGGTCTGAGGGGGTAGATCAAATCACAGTCTTTACATTGACTGCCCAATCATGTGTGCATACAGTTGTAAGTGCCACTGCTAATTCATATACATACAAAGCCCTCTCAGCAATACTAGAGGGTCTGCATGGGGGATTCTGGCCACGCTTTATGGTAGATTAAAGAAGTTTGGCAACTCTTATAATGGTAAATGCATCAAGGCTTAACGGTAAATCAAGTTTTCGTACCATATTTTCGTGGGCATACATGTAAAGCTACTACACTGAGTCTCATAGTATTCATTTACGATGAAGCACCTTTAAGTTAATAAACTGTCAACACTTGCCATCAAATACAAGCAATGGACCATTATGCCTCAAGCTTCATGGATCCCTCTGATGGTCTCTGAACCGATATGTGTTAGAGACATTTTAATACCTGGTCCATGTTCAATTTTGGCATGGTGACCACTGTCAGAGGCCACCAAATTTTTTTTTATCTGGCGAAAAAATAATGCCCGTGCTAATGTCATCCGTAAAAAGTACTCGCTAAAATGTTTATGAATTCGGGATACGGTAAATACGGCAAATACGGTAAGGTGCTATTTGGAAGTAAAATACTTCACGAAAAATTTTCCGGCAACAAATGTCAGTGAATTGAAGCAGCCGGCTATGGTTAAATAACAGTGAATTAAAAAAGCTTGCTACTGTAACACTTCACAGAAAAATGACACACAGACCCTCAAACTAGCCTGCGATATTTGTATGCAAGTCTTGGAGTGGAACAAAACGACATACTAACGCAAAGGATTTCAAAGATACAATGTACAGTAAGTGATGATTACACAGTCCAACTGTTGAGACGTAAAGTCTTGCACTTAACCCAAAACTGTGTAGGCAGACACTTAAACTTAAACACCCACACGCAACTTGTACATGAAAGCCAACTCCGCCGCTAGACAGCAGCCAAAGTATTGGTTTTGAAGACATCTGCCAAATCCCACCATTTTCCTGCATTTGTCCTGTCTCTCCAGAGCCTTTCATCCCTAAAACCTTACTGACTACAGCGTACACTCATGTTCTCAGTAAAGCTGCAGGGCTTTGATACAACTTCAGAGAGCTGCCAGTACACTTGTCAGTTAGAGACATCTAGGCATTTGTTTTTTAACCCAAGCCATGGACACGAAGCCATTAGGAGGATGAATAGCATTAATATCGTTAATTTGAGGAAAGGATGTTACTATGTTAATGCCTTAAATTTATTAGGCAGTAGAAGGTGTAAGTAACATAGAGACACTGTTAATGATTTGCATTACAAGTTGTAGATGATTTCAAGGGTTTACGTTGTATTCAGGTTATAACAGAAGTTAATCCTTCTCCCAGGTGCCTTTAGTAAGGCCATGTTATGATAATATGGATGACATCCTATGGGAACCACAAAACTGATATGAGTGCAAATGAAAAAAAGGTTGGCAAAAAACAATTGCCTTCCTTATTAAATCTACATGGTCATGAGGATTGCACAAATGACTAAACACACAGTGTATGGCATGGCAAATAATAGACTCTTCATTTTTCATTTTGTCACATTTTCCTCTTTTCCTTTCAAATTTATGTGGCATTCTACAGCATAAGTAT